CAGTCAGGATAAGACAGTAAGCGGTTCAAAAACTTATGGTCTTGACACTCCTTTCCAAAACCAACCCACTGCCATTGAGTCAATTCCGACTCATTGCGACCTCCATTGTGTTTCCTAGGCGATGCAGTAAAATCTTTATGGAAGTAGATTGTCCCACCTTGACACTCCTTTACATTCTTAAAAAACCGAGGATCCCAAACAGCTTTATGGTTTATGTGTAGATTAATTATTATTGCTGTGTAAAAAAAATCACCTGAAAACTCAGTGGCTTAAATTCAATTGTGGCTTTATTCTTTTTTTTTTTTTTTCTCTCAGTTCCTATGGGTTAGGAATTTCATGCAAGTCTGGCTTGGGATCTTTTAGGAGGCTGAAGTCATCTGAAGGCTTGAGTAGGTCTGGGAGACCTGCTTCAAGGTGGATCGCTGATGTTCTGACATGAGTGGCAAGTCAGTGCTGGCTGTTGGCAGGAAGCCTCTGTTACTGTCCATGGGAGCCTCTCCACAGGCGTATTTGCATATCCTCCTGTCATAGTGTCTGGCTTCCACCACAGAAGATGATCCAAGAAATAGCAATAAGAAGTCATGATATTTTTATGACCTAGCCACAGAAGTCAAACACTGTCATTTCCTCAATGATCTATTGGTTACACTGACCTATTTAATGTGGGTATAAATACCAGGAGGTGAGAATCACTCAGGGCCATCCTGGAGACCGGCTACCACAATATGGGTTGTAGTTTGTTGATATTTACAGAATTAGAAATTAGAATGTAGGAAGTTTTAAAATAATTATTCATTTTAAAACAAGAAGCATACTATGTGTTAACAATGTGTTTTTAATAAAAATACATATTCCGAAATGAAAATAGTGTGAAGAATGGTATTGTTTTACGGTTTTTCAAATCTCTTGAAATATCTGGCATAAGGAGAAGACAGCTGAATTCTTGTTTCTGCTTTTCCATACCCCACTGAACACTCATGAGTGATTTAAAAAAGGCAAGTAACATTTTAATATTATTATAAAAATAATTTTGACTTTGTAGAACCTTCTGAAAGTGCCTTGGAGAGCTCAGACCACACATGAACCTGGAGCTAGGTCCTGATGCAGTAGCAAATAACCCCAACATCTCAATGGCTTGATACAACAAAGGTTTGTTTCTTGCTCATGCTACAAATCTATTATGGATTTATATCTATTTCATGTCATCTTCATTCATCTTCATTTAGGAACCTAAGTTTACACAGCAGCCTCTCCCTGAGACATTGCTAGTCATTGCGCCAGGGGGAAGAGAACATGGTGAACCGCTCTTAAAGTTTCTGCTTGGAGTGACATGTGTCACTTTTTCCTTCAGCCAAGCAACTCATATGATCAGGCCTGAGTTCATCAGGGTTGGCATGTATAATCTTCAGGGAGGGCCACCACTGGAAGGGACACTGCATATATGTGAACAGTCATGTACTCTACCATAGGATTTTATAAATATCACTCTGGTTGCTTCATGAAGAATGGATTATATGCAAAGAGGTAGGAAGATAGTCAAGAGTAGAAGTCATGTTAAGAATTGTCTGAAGATGGAGGACACTCATAAGTATAAATAGGTTTGGCAGAGGATATTTCTACATATGTATCTGTTTGTAAATATATTCAAGGACATTGTAGGAATATATTGCAAATATATTCAAGGACATTGTAGAGCATACAGGGGGCAAAGTTCTGAAAACTTCTTAGCCGTAACCAAATACCTTGTAGGAATGTGTCACTGGGCTTGTGGATGTAAGACCACCATCTCGAGGGATATCTAGGTTAATTGGCAAAACACAGCCCATAAAGACAATGTTCTACATTCTACTTTGGTGAGTAGTGACTGTGGTCTTACAAGCTTGCAAGTAGCTCTCTAAGATGCAACTGTTGGTTTCTTTCCATCCAGAGCAAGGAAGAGTGAAGAAAACCAAAGACTCAATGAAACAATTAGTCCAAAGGACTAATGGACTATGTGATTCACAACATCCATTAGCCTGAATCCGGCAGAACTAGATGGTGCCCATCTACTATTATTGACCTCTCTGATCAGGATCACAATAGAACTCCCAGGCAAAGAGGGAGGAAAAAAAATATAGAATAATATTCAAAATAATAATAATAATGCAGACTTACTGCTCTGACAAAGACTGGTGGAACCCACGAGACTGTGGCCCTTAGACACCCTTCCAGCCTGGAGCTGAACTCACCCCCAGGAGTCAACTTTCAGCCAAACAATAGACAGCCTTATAAAGTGAATAATAGCATCATGGAGGACTGTACTCCTCAGGATAATCAACCACACAAGATGAAAAGGGCAGCATTTGCCAAAAAACAAAGGTCAGAAAGCTGCAAAGTGCAGGAAAGAAGGACAAAGGGAAATGGGAAATCCAGGGAAGAAATGGGAATATTGAGGGGATTGCAACCAATGTCACAAAACAAAATGTGTATAAATTGTTGAATGGAAAACGAATTTGTTCTGTGAACTTTCACCCAAACTACAATAAAAAGGAACAAAACAAAACAAACAAACAAACAAAAAAAGAATGGACTGCAGTACTTCAGGCAAGAAATGATAATGGCTTGAATTAGGATGGTGGCAGTGGTCTGATTCAAAATGCTTACTCTGAAGACTCAGCTGGTAGGACTTGTTTTTGGAATAGGAGTAGGATAGGGAAAAGTACTGGAAGATAACTTCAAGGTTTTTTGGTTTGAGCAATTAGGTGGATGTTGATGATATTTATTGAGATGGAGAAGACTGGAGGAAGAAGAGGTGTTTGTTTTTTCTTTGTTTTATTTTGTTTTTGTCAGGAAGAGGAGGGAATAAATGGTCTGTTTTAAACATGTTAAACCTGAGATGCCTACTAAACTTCCAAATAGGAATATCCAGTTGGCACTGGCCATAGTAGATCTCTAAGTCTGGAGCTCAGAACTAGAGATAGAAATTTTGCAGGCATTAGCACATAACTGAATTGTAACACCTTGGAACCGGATGAAGTCTCCTAGGGCAAGAGTACCAATAGGTAAAAGAAGAGGGCCAAGGACTAAGTGTTGGGAGTATGTAACATCTACCGGTGGCAGTGTTCCATCCAGCAAAGGTGACTGAGGAGGAGCCACTGAGGCAAGGTGAAAACCAGGAGAGGGCTGGGTAATGGAAACCAAGTGAAGAAAATATTTCATAACATTGGCTATTAGTCTTGTAGAAGTCAAATATAAGAAGGATGACAAAAAGATAGGATTTTGCAGTGTAGAAGTCATTGTTGACCTGGACAAGAACAATGCTAGTAAAGGGGTGAGGATCAAAGTATAATCAGAGTGGGCTGAAGAAAAGATGGGAGGTGCAGAATGAAGACACCTCTTTAGGAGTTTTTTGTTAGGTAACTAAGTGATGTCAGCTAGATCTTAGCTGAAAGATGTTTACCTGTGTTATATTGACTATGTAAAGGTATTCAACTGTGTGAATCTTAACACATTTTGGCTCATATTGAAAAAAAAAAAGTAGAAATTCCAGAACATTTAATTGTGCTCACGAGGAGCCTGTACATGGACCAAGAAGCAGTCATTTGAACATATCAAAGAGATACTGAATGGTTTAAAATCAGGAAATGTGTGCGTCAGGGTTGTATCCTTTCACCATGCTTACTCAATCTGTATGCTGAACAAATAATTCAAGAAGCTGGACTATGTGAAGAAGAATGCAGCATCAGGATTGGAGGAAGACTCATTATCAACTTGTGATATGCAGATGACACAACCTTGCTTGCTGAAAGCATTTAAAAGGACTTGAAGCACTTACTGATGAAGATCAAGTACAGCCTTCAGTATGGATTACACCTCAACATAAAGAAAACAAAAATCCTCACAACTGGACCAATAAGCAATATCATGAAAAATGGACAAAAGATTGAAGTTGTCAGGAATTCCATTTTACTTGGATCACAATCAATACCCATGGAAGCAGCAGTTAAGAAATCAGATGGTGTACTGCACTGGGCAAATCTGCTGCAAAAGACTTTTTTTTTTTTTTTTTTTAAGTACTACAGAATGAAGAAGTCGTTTTGAAAACTAAGGTGCACCTGACCCAAGCCTTGGTATTTTCAATTGCCTTATGTGTATGTGAAAACTGGACAGTGAATAAGGAAAACGGAAAAATTGATGCATTTTAGTTGTGGTGTTGGCGAAGGACGCTGAAGTGCCAGGGACTGCCAGAAGCAAGAACAAATCTGTCCTGGAAGAAGTGCAGTCGGAATGCTCCTTAGAAGGGAGAATGGCCGGACTTCGCCTCATATACTTTGGTACGTTGTCAGAAGGGATCACTCCTTGGAGAAGGACATCATGCTTGGTAGAGAGTCAGAGAAAAAGGGGAAGACCTTCAATGAGATGGGTTAACACAGCAGCTGTGACATGGGCTCAAGCACAGCAAAGATTGTGAGGATGGTGCAGGACCAGGCAGTGTTTCATTCTGTCGTACACAGGGTTACTATGAGTCGGAGTCAAGTCGGTGGCACCTAACAACAACAGGTGAGTAGAGAAACGGGAGGGGACAAAGATGTGAGAATGAAATGATGTATATCTGAAATTTTTATGTAAACTGCAAATGCTCTGTAATTGTTAGGCTTATTTTACTATTCGAACTCTAGGAATTTAAACTCAGCTCAGGATAATGACTCACTTCCACTAATTCCGTGCTTGTTGGCCATTAAGGCGCAAAGTATCCCCAGCCAATGAAAAGCCTAGAATGAGAGTTGTACAGAGAAATGACAATGAGGAAAGTGTGGAAGGGTAGGTTAATATTGTCCTCCTAAGGCCACCGTAGGGTAGGTCTCGCAGCTATTACGACGTTTTAGGGGCGGAGCAAGCAGGAAATTTAAACTGAAGCCGCGGCCGAGAGCGCCTAGGGACTGTTACTGTCCTTGCAGAGGAACAGCTGGGACTCGGGAAACTGAAAGACTGAAAGAGCTCATGGAGCCCGCAGACAGAATATGCCGGCCTTGAAGAGTGAGTACGGAAGCCGAAAAGGAGCCAAGAATTTAAGGAGGCAGCCGGGAACGGGTACGGATGCCGGGAAGGGGAGAAAGGTGTTAGTAGGAAGGCGGAAGGGTCAAAAGAATTGAAGGGAGGGTACGGAATCAGAAAGTGAGCGCAGAAATTGAGGAACAGATAAGTGCAGAAGCTGAGGAAGGTATGGGGTCACAGTAGTGAAGTGATTCAGCAGGTCCCGGGAGTTGAGGGGACAGAAGTTTCAAGGAGGCAAAGGGACTAGTGCCTGGAAGGATGCACTAGGGGTGGCCAGGGACCCACAAGAGTTGAGGAAACCTAGTGTGAAAGGGGGCAGTGGGATTGAGGGACAAGAGTATGGAAGGAGACGCGGGAGTTGAGTGGGTCGGGCTAGAGTTGATTTTGCTGTCTTTGGGAGCCGAATTGGCAATCTCGGGCGTTGTGCGGGTTTTGGGGGGCAGGGACGGTGGAAGGCCGAAGGCTAGGGAAGGTGGTTGAGCTTTGTCCTTTCTCAGGCGACTACTTGCTCGAGCTGGAGAGTTCCATGGCTGAGACTAGGCTCCGGGTTCCGGACCTAGGTAGGTAACAGATCAAAACTAGGAATGTGAGGTCAAAAATGCCACTCCTGCCATGGGGCCTCTTGGGAGGGTAAAACCGAGAAACCCTATTGGCGTTTTGTAATTCCTTAGCAGTTTTGTGGAGGAGGGATATCATGGATTATTTAGGAATTCATGGTAAAAGTCAAACGAGAGCTTTCAGTCTGATGTTATGAACAAAGCAGGCAGTGGAGAGTAAGGATATAGTAAGTTTTTAAAACCCACGGTCGTGGTTATTTTCACCATAAATTTCTATTGTTATCTATATATAAAACAGCGTTATCTGTACACTTAAACACTCCCACCCGGTTAGATAAGTACAATAGCAGTAATCTTGTCCCTTGGTGCTTCCCCTTCTTTCTTTTAGTATCATCCAGTTTTAATTCTGATTGTTATACACAGGGGATTTTGTTGTTGTCGCCTTTTAGAGAGTTACTCTTCACTGAGTTACTGACTTTCTTCCCATGTCTTGTGCCTTTCTTCTGAATCTTTTTTTCTGTTTACTGGGGAGCTTTCTCCAAGATTGGTTTCAAAACAGGACTCTCTGATAAACATTCTGAGGCTCCTATGCCTGAAAATAACTGTTTCAACGCTGCATTAAAATTCTTGAGTCAATTTTTTTTCCTTCAACTCACTGAAAAATTACAATATTTTCTTCTTATATAAAGTAGATGCTGTTGTGAAATGATGTCCCTTTGTAAATGACCTGCTTAGAAAAAGTTGGACAATTTTCTGATTGTTCTTAAAAATTCACTTTCCTGTGACTGTGTCTGGATTTTGGAAGACTTTTGTTTTCATCTTTACTATAGTTTTATGCTACATAGTTTGAAATACCAAGATCTATCACAAAACAACATTCTTCTGCTCTTCCTTTCATACGCTCTGATTCTCACTCCTAGGGTGCAGCCATGTACAGCATTTGTAGCTGTTTCTTCTGGTATTTGCCATTGTATTTGTGAATAACATACTCCTTTTTGTTACTGTTTTCCATTTTAAATTATAACTATTGACTTTCTACTGTGGAAAATAAATGTCTTTGTCACCCCTGACCCCTGCCTGTACTGCACACACACACACACACACATACACACAGGCATATTTCCCTCCTATCCCCTTATCCTCTTAGTGTGTTTTTGTCTAGGTGATTTTTTGTGTTAACATTATTATGATTATGTAAAGCCTAATCACAGCTGAGCCATTTAGTAAGCTAGGAAATTTGCTTCATTTTCTATATATGAAGCACCAATTCACGTCCACACTCTTTACCAGAAATACTAACCTTCTCTTGGTACTTGCAAGCCACCAGAAGTTCTCCCAGTTTCTTCTTTGTCTTGGAGACATACCTTCTGGGACCATCTGTCCAGTCTTGCTTAGCAGCGCTCTAGGTCTGTTGCATTGTTTTCATCCTAGGGTCTCCCTTCATTCGGTGAAATTCCCTTGGCCTCTTTCCTGTGTTGGATCCTCTGTTTTCTAAATTCCATATTTCCTCTTTCTTAGCTCACGTCCTTCGGAAGGAAGATGGGGCAACCTACTTCCGTAGTGATACCGCCTCGGAAACCCAAGGAGGGGTCACTATGAGTCGGGTCTGACTCAAGGCACATCACAACAACAACAACAACAACAAGCTCACGTCCTCACTCTAGTAGAGCACATCCATCAGGACAGCTTCCTGAGAAAGGTGCATGCAAATCATTTTTGGAGCTCTTGCAAATCTGACAGTTCTTTATTCTACTTTACATTTGAATGATCATTTGGCTAGGTAAAGAAAGAACCCTAGGCTGGACATTGTTTTCCCTCACTTCTTTTAGCTTCCAGTGTGCCATGGCAAAGCCTGATACTGTCAATATTTCTACCTCCTTCTGAACGTTAAAATTACAAGAGCCTAAACTGTTCTATATCTGAACACCCCTTCCCCCACTAACATACCTATTACTATTGTCTATCTCTCTTTTTCACTTTCAAATTAGTTATCATTATTACTGTTTTACAGAGTTGATGATTATTTAGATTTACACGTTTTTACCCATTTTTTTGGACATTTTAGTCCTTCCATGTGGGTTCAGTTTTTTTGTTTCTGAAGTATATCTTAAAAATCCTTTTGTGAGAATCTGTTGGTGATAAACTGGGGTTTTGTTTAATTTGAAAAATGCCTTTGTTTTACCCCCATTCTTGAATAATAGTTTAGTCACATGTAAAATTCTGAGTTTACATTTATTTTCCGTCAGCACCATTATTATACTGGTTTCTGGCTTCCATTGTTGCTATTGAAATGCCTGTAAGAGGGCTAATCATTGTTCCATTATCTTCCATGCTTGGTAGGACCTATTTTTCCTACCCTCTGCCTGAGTATCATCTCTTTGTCCTTGGTGTTTTGCATATTCTCTTTGATGTGTGTATGTGTGGGTTTGATTTTATTTCTTCTTTTTGGGACTTATTTTCTGACACCAAAGATTTATGTCTTTCATCAGCTCTGGACATTTCACACATTAATAGAACCATATACCATGTGACTGGTTTCTTTTACTTAGTCCAGTGTTTTCACAGCTCGCCCACATTATAGATCTGTCAGCACCTTACTCCTTTTTGTTGCTGGATAACCATCAGTTGTATGGATGTACCACATTTTGTTTAATCATTCATCCATTGATGCACCTTTACATTTTTTTCCAATTTTTGGCTACTACGAACAAATAATGCTGCTGTGAACATATATATACAAGCTTTTCTGTGGACATACATGTTTTCATATATACCCACAAAAAAACTGGATATGGGTCATATGGTAACTCTGTGTTTAAACTTTTGAGACACTGCCACACTGTTTCCAAAATGGCTGCACCATTTTCCATCCCCACCAGCATTGTGTGAGGGCTCCAGTTTCTTCACATCTGAGCAAGTGAGGGTAAGACACTAGTCTCACTGTCACCTTTGTGTGCCCCGGACCTGGCACACAGAAGCTGTTGGGGAGGGCTGCTTGACTTACAGTGTTCCAGCTTAAGCTTTTCACTTTCCTTTTTTGTTCTTGTTCTAGGGGCTCAGCTAGGAGCTCCCAGCTGGCTGGAAAAATGCCAGAAGAGCTCACCAGGTGCTAGGAGGCAGCCTTTTTCCGGGAAGACCTTTTACTTGGATCTGCCCACTGGCAAGAATCTTCAGTTTTTGACAGGGGCCATCCGGCAGCTGGGTGGGGTATGTAACCTGCTCTGCCCCTGTGGATACCATGTGCCTTTGTGGGTCATAGGGTAGGAGCTAGAGAAGGATTATATCTGTGACTGCTGGGTGTTTTCAGTAGTCTCACTGTGTTTTCTAAAGTAATTTTAAGTATAAATCATTGTTTAAAATAAAGCTACTCTTTTTCTTAATGGAGTAGTTTGTTGTTATTGTTGTTATGTGCCGTTGAGTTGGACCTGACTGATAGCGACCCCTCCTTGGGTTTCCGAGGCAGCATCACTATGGAAGTAGATTGCCCAACTTTCCTTCTGAGGAGTGGCTGGTGAGTTTGAACTGCCAGCCTTCTGGTTAGCAGTCAAGTGCCTTAGGCACTACGCTCCCAGAGCTCCCAGTTGGAGTAGTAATACCTGTTTATTCTAAAAACTTTAGAGAACATAGAGCTGTTCCAGATGACACCCAGCATTTTGGTGTATTTATTTTCTTCTGATCCTTTTCCTTCTCTCTTTTTCTTTTCTTTTTGTGACAGTTTTATTGAGATATAATTCACATGCCACCCAGTTCACACATTTAAAGTACACAATTCAGTTTTTTCAGTACAGTCACTGATTTCTGCAACCACTACCACAATCAACTTAAGAACATTGTCATCACCCCCAAAGAAACCCCAAACCCACCAGCAGTCACTCCTCTAAGATTCCCCCCAATGCTTCGCAGCCTTGGGCAACCACTAATCTACTTTCTGTGTCTATCCAGCCTTTTTTTTAATGCTTATTTTCTATGTGGGTATGATCATGAATACTTTTTTTTTTATTGTGATTTGAGTGAAAGTTTACAGAGCAAATTCACTTTCCATACAGCATTTCACATATACTTTGTCTCATGACATTGACTGCAGTTTCCCACAATGCAACAGCTCCCCTTCTACTTCCTCCCCATAGTTACCTCCTCCCTGTGTCCTTCCCTCCATGCACTCCTGCCCCCTGAGCTGTCTCCCTGAGCATACACAGCCCTTCTGTTCTCCCATGATTGTTCTCTCCAAGGAGTGTATCTACCTAATGTAAATGTTAAGCTCATTTGCTTGTCTTTTGTTTGGCTGGAAGCCACAGGTATAGCTTCAATTCCAAACCTGAAGGGCAGCCCATAGTCTCAGTGGCATTAGTACATATTTGATTATCACCTTTTTGCACATAATCTTAAAGTATTAGCCCTTTCCTATCATTAGCCCTCACATGCATTATTTGTAATAGGAATATAATATTCTTTTGAGTGGGTTATTAGTTAACTTAATTGTTGCCCTGTGAACATTAACTTATTTCTCTCTGTAGCTCTTATAAAAACACTGTGGTGAACAACTTTGGGTGTAAGCATTTACTCTATTTCAATCCACTAAAGTATTTTTAAAGCATATACCATACCATATGGAACATTTAAGGAGTTCTGGTGGCACAGTGGGTGAGGCATTTGGCTGCTAACCAGAAGGATGGCAGTTCAAACCCACCAGCCGCTCTGCGGGAGGAACATGAGACTGTAAAGATTTACAGTCTTGGAAACCCAGTGGGGGTTGCTATGAGTCAGAATCGACTCGACGGCAGTAGTTTTTTTGTTGTTGTACTTTATAGTACATGTAATAAGTGGTCATGGATATTACTTGTATTTAGAAAATAGTATCATAGCACTGGCCCCCAAAGAGTCTGGTAACTGGGGAAACTGCAGGAATAGGCTCGGAATGTGGAGGTTCTTTGCTGTCAACCTAACAGAACTCAAGGATGCAGGAACTCAACTGAGGAGGTGGGGAGAATGACTAGCCCATAATTAGGAGCTCTTATGCCACTATGGTTAAGACATTGGGCTGCTAACCAAAAGGTCAGCAGTTCAAACCCACCAGCCACTCCGTAGGAGAAAGACAAGACAGTCTGTTTCCATAAAGATGTACAGCCTTGGAAACCCCATGGGGGTTTCTGTGAGTTGGGATTGACTCGATTACAATGGGCTTTGTTTTTTTAAGCCCATAATTACATTTCGCACTTCCAGTCTATCATTTTCCACTACTCTGGGCAATTGCTGTGCTAGTTTCCACGGGGCTCACTCGTGCAGCTACCTTCAGCTGGGCTGGAAGGACCAAGATGGCCTGCCTCACACATCTGGCATTTGGTGGTGGCTGTCATCTATGCCACCTCAGTTTTCTGCTCTATGGCCTCTCTTCCTCCAGACCAACTGACTTACATGGTGATCTCAGGACAGCCCTCCCAGAAGGTGAAGGCTGAAGCTACAAGGCCTCTTGAGGCCTACGTGCTAGAACTCACACACATGACTTTAACCACATTCTGTTGAACCAAGCAAGTCAGATTCAAAGGAATGGCAAAATTACTCCACCTCTTGATGGGAAAAGCAACAAAGTCACACAGCATAGCAATAGGTATACTGGGTTTGTGGCTGTTAATCTTCCACATTTGTATAGGATGGATTACATCTCAACATAAAGAAAACAAAAATCCTCACAACTGGACCAATGAGCAGCATCACAATAAATGGAGAGAAGATTGAGGTTGTCAAGGAATTCACATTGCTTGGTTCTACAATCGATGCCAACGGAAGCAGCAGTCAGGACATTAGACGACGTGTAGCATTGGGAAAGTCAACTGCGAAGGAACTGTTTCAAGTGCTGAGGAGCAAGGATATCTCCTTGAGGACTAAGGTGCGCCTGACACAAGCCATGATATTTCCAATCACCTTGTATGCATGTGAGAGCTGGACAATGAATAGGGAAGACCGAAGAAGAGTTGATGCTTTTGAGTTGTGGTGCTGGCGAAGAATGCTGAAAGTACCATGGACTGCTAAAAGAACTAACAGACCTGTCCTGGAGGAAGTGCAGCCAGAATGCTCCTTGGAAGCAAGAATGGCCAGACTTCGTCTCACCTATTTTGGTCATGTTGTCAGAAGGGACCATTCCCTGGAGAAGGATGTCATGCTTGGTAGGGTGGAGGGTCGACGAAAGAGGGGGAGCCCTTCAACGAGATGGATTGATACAGTGGCTGCGATGATGGGCTCGAGTATAACAGGGATTGTGGGGCTGGTGCGGGATCGGGCAGTGTTTCGTTCTGCTGTGCATGGGGTCGCTATGAGTCGGAAACGACTCGACGGCACTTAACAACAACAACAACCCTTTAGTATTTGTTTTTGGTGTATTAAAGAAGGTAAATGTACTCCTTTAAGCCATAACTTTAAGGCTGGTTCGTTTGTTTTTAACTTTAATGTCAGGTGTCCCACCTAGTCACCCTTCTGAGATACCATCTATCTTTATTTTCAGTAGTGTCAGTAGTATTTTCAGGATCTGGTTGGGACTGGCTTGTGAGAGCCAATTGTTAGCATTCCTTCCCAGTTCTACATTCAGTGATGTCCTGTTGGTATCTTGAAATAAGTTATAGTGGGAGTATTTACCCTCAGAAATTGACAAATGCTACAAAGCAGGTATTTTTTTCCCTGTGAGTCAATCATTGATCACTTACTAGCTCACCACTGCTTATTTCCATCTTTTCTTCTTTCCACAATATGAGTTAAATATCATGTTTCAGGTACCTTGCTGGTTCTTGGGATGTAAAAATGGGACAGACCCACTGAGTCCCCGTAAGAGGCTTTCAGTCAAGTAGGGTGAGCAAATACCTGCCCAGCTAAGCCCTGTGGTAACCAAAACCCTCTTTTGTTTCATTTTTTAGTTTCCTTTTGTAGCATGATCAAGATTACAGATGTAATGTCCAAATGGCCCAGCATATCTTAGATGGAAAAATGGTGGTTTAACTCATTTTAACAACTGTTAATCCTGTCTAGCCTCTTCGGTGAGCTTTTGCTCTACTTAAATGCAAACTACTCAGAGCCCACAGCCTTCTGCTGTTAGATCAGGACCAGCAATTCTGGAGACAAAAACCTATATTTTTCCTCTGATATTTCAGGTTGATGTTTTCTTGGAGGCTTGGTACAGCACTGCATTTGGTCTATTTAAAGACATTGATTTCAGAGCTCCTGGCAGCCAAGGTTTCCTTCCCCAACCTCTTGATATTGACAATCCTACATCTGTCTTTTGGTTTCTAGCCACCTCTGTGATCTGGTTTCAGGTAATTGAGGGTTTTCTGAGCAAAGAAGTGAGTTACATCGTGTCCAGCCGCAGGGAGGCCAAGGCAGAGAGCAATGGGACGAGCCACAGAGGCTGCCCCGGCCCCAGCGAGGTCAGAGTGGAAACACCATTCTCGGCAGATCCAAAAGGCAGCCACACCACACCTTTACAAAAACCTGGAGATGTGGTAAGAACCTTATGAGGTTGTAAAGCTTTGTTCTGTAAACAAAAGAAGTAGACCTCGGTAAACCCTCTGAGGAAGTGTGTGATTTCAGCTTAATATAGTTTAATTTAAACTCATTCAAACGTTTTTATCATAGCTCTGGATCTAAGCACCTCACCACATGGTGCCCCCACATTATCCCTTCCATGGTATTTGCTTGCTTTTTATGGAACTTCAGAGCCAGAGATTCCAAAGCCATAGGAGAGTCCTTTGTGCTCCAGAGAGGACTTATTGAAGGGCCAGTAGTTTGGACAATGCACGTGTCATGTGTTTGACTTAGAATGCACTATAACTTTTTCCCTTGATTGGCGTTCCTATTTTTGCTTTACTTTGGCAAATATTAAAATGTCCATAAAACTATGCTGTTGGCATTCTGATGAAGGGCAGCGCTTCCAAGGAGCAAAGAAAACCCTTTCTAAAATGAAACATTCACTGTGCATCATCCACCAGAGAGCACAAGGTTTCTGAACAGGAAGATGTTTGTAGCAATTTGATTTCGAGTGAATTCAGAATGCCCTTCTCCACCAGGGTCTGGGCCGCCCAGGCCACAGCTACCTGTGGGTGACTTGAACTTGTGTATAGCTATACCTTTACCTCTTAAAGGTTCTCTGGACCCTCATTTCTGCCCCTCCTCAGCTGTCACTGCTCACAGCTTTCTGAGGGACATGACCCCAAGATGTCCTTGCCAGTGGATGTTTAACATCTGTTTATGTACAGGTTTATGCAGCACACTTCATGGCTCTTCTCTTCCTGTCAGGTGCCTATGAGCAGAGGGAAGGAGCTAGTGCAGAAGGCCATCAGAAACCAGGTGAGCTGGGAGGTGGACACCTCATTCTCCTCCCTACAGCACAGGGAGAGATTTAGCCTTTCCTCCAAGGTTCTCCCAAAGCACCACGTGAATTATGTGCCCTGTGAGTTGTGTAGTATTACCTTCCTGCAGATGAGGAAGTAGATACTCAGAGAAGTTAAATAACTTGTCCAGAGTTATCCAGGGAGTAAGTGGTAGAGCCAAGATTTGACTCTGATCTTTCCAACTCCAGAGCCTACAAGAGAACTTTGGAGTAAGGCTGTAGGTTAATGTCTGCTGTGCACACAAGGCAGACAGACTCTGTTCATCTTTTTACAAGTAGCTATGAGAAACCAGGACCATTAAAGTTAAATGGCAGGAGATGGAGGAGGAGTTAAACGGATCTTGTGAGATGAGAGGTGTCATTAAAGTGCCACCAAGACAAGTTCATGAGCTGTGGTGAGGGAGGATGGTGCCAGATTGGGGCAGTAGGGCAGGAAAGATCTGTAGGCAGTATCGTCCCCTGCCTGATGACAGTGGTTGTTACTGGTATTTACTGTGCCCATACTGTGTGCTGAACACTGTTCTCAACAGAGGTCCTCTCCATAAACAGCTCTGTTACCAGCATGTGTTCCTTCCTAGTCTAAAGTGGCCAGAGGAGAGCACATGGGCAGACCGTAGCATTGCATCATACAGCACAGGGTGTCCTGGTGATTGGGGCACACGCTCCAGGCCCTGTGCTCTCTTCCCTGCCGATCTACCCCTAGCATGTGTGGATGAGCGAGGGCTCCCAGAAGCAGAAAAACTTGTCCCCATGGAGCCACTCCTTGGAAGAAAGATGGAGCAATCTACTTCGTAGTGATACTGCCTTGGAAACCCAGGGAGGGGTCTCTATAAGTCAAGTCCAACTCGAGGGCACATAACAACAACAACAATATGGGGCTCAGATCTTGGGGAGTCTCATGCCCCTGCCTGACTGTGCTTCATCATTGCAGGGGAGTGGCAGTGGAGGAGGCAGCGGGTGTGGCAGCAGCCTCCTGACCAATGCCCGCTCCTGGGGAGTGAGGATTCTGCATGTGGACGGTATCGTTTCTGCCCTGGGTCCTGGCAGGGGGGCAGGAAGAGTTGGTGACTTTGAGCTGGTCACTAGGAGCCAGAAGTGCTCAGTTTGGGTGCCGGTTGACAAAGGTGGGAGGGTGTGGGGGAAGCATGACAGTGGCAGACACGCCAGCACCTGAACATGTTTCATTTAATCGGCACAACTCCTTGAGCTGGTGTGATGGTCCCATTTTACAAGTAAAGAAATAATTCTAATGTCTGTGACTGCCTACTGAGTACTTACTCTGTGCCAGGAGTTACCTCACTTAATCCCTGCTGCAGTCCTGTTCCCATTGTGCACATGAGGAAATTGAGCCTCAGAGGGATTGAGTAAATTGTCCATGTTCTGACCAGGAATGAGTGGCGTGACCCACATTCCACCCCATCCTGGCCTGACTCTGAATTTCCTGTTCTTTCTTTTCTGTGGTGTTTGGCTCACAGGATAGTGGCTGTTTGTGGGTTGTGATAAATGTACACTGGAACAGCCATCCTGCATCACCTGGCCGTGTCTGGCCCCTACACCCCACTCCACTCTTGAGTCAGGTTTTCTCTGATCATTTGTTGGGGGCTGATTCATATGGGAGTGCTGAGGTTTGCTGTGAGGCAGGGGGAATGGGGGGGCTCTACAGGAAGTTTCTGGTCTGGGTTGGGAGCTCCATCTTGCTGGAAAATCAGCCATTTCTATCCTGATCTAATTTCCTGCATTCCTGTGTGTTAGAGAAGCTCCAGCTGAAGGTACATCTGACTGAGTACCTCCTGTGGCTTGGTCTCTAGTGAGGCAGCTCCTCCATAGTACCTTACAGGCCTTTGTGAGCCAGAAGGCACCTCCTGTTCACCTATGAGTTGTATTCTATTCCACAAAAGAGTATGAAGCCAACTTGGGTGCTATTCCAAGGCTGGAAGATCTGGCTCCTTCCTATGTTGTCAGGAGATGCAGAGGTGATGTGTAACCAGAAGGTGGCAGGCAAGGCTGGTATGATCCAGTGGTTTAGGCTGGGCATGTTCTTGGCCCCAAGCAGGGGCGGTGCCAAGTGAATGAATGGAAATCTTTGGTCACGCCCTCTGTGTTCTCCACAGAAATGATGATGCATGTGCAGCAGCTGTCTCTTGGTGCTCTATGTGAAAGGAAACAAGAGCCGAAGAAGCCAGAGGTAGGTCATCCTTCTGAACAAAAGAGAAATGGTTCTCAGACAGTGAAGTCTGTGACAACTTTGATAAATCCCATGACCTGCCTCTTCCTGAATGTTCTGAAAAAAGTACAAGGAGGACAGCCTGTCGGTTACCTTTACTGTCAACAGCTTTGTGTCACCCTTTCTTCTCTTCCTAGTGCTACCTGGAAACCTCCTGTGGTCCACTCACCCTGCCAAGGCATTCACTATGGCCTGGGCCATACGCAGCCTCTGGGTATCCCTGGCCTAGGTAGAAGCCATACATGCTTATGGCCCACTGGCCAGGCTGCCCTTCCGGGGACCACTCTTGGCCTGGGGGTGAGCCTGCACATTGCATGGGCGGAGTGAGGGGAGATGTTGAGGTTTCAAATAGCTGCCATCTTCCAAATTTTCCTTTGGCTTTTTCTTCTCTTGCTGGGATGAGAATTGTGTACCACATCAAGAGAGCCCAAGCTGAGAACTAGATGGTGCCCAGCAACCAATGTCAACCACTCAGAAAGGGATCAAAATTGGAGATCCTGGATAGAGTGGGACCAGGATTACTGGTCAGATAGAGACTGATGGAACCCGAGACTGTGGCCCCAGGTTACCCTTCGGGCCTGGAATTGGACTCACTCCTGTGGGTTAGCGCTCAGCCAAACGATAGACAGGCCTACGAGCTGAACAACTACAGCAGGGAGATGCACTCCTAGACAGTCAACCACGGGAGATCAGAAGGGCAGCATTTGCACAGGGAGAAAGCTAGGCAGGCAGGAATGCATAGGTAAGAAGGACACAGGGAAGGGTTAACCACGGGGAGGAGGTGGGAGGACAGCTATTTCATCATGGGGATTGTAATTGGTGTCATGAAACAAAATGTGTATGAACTATTGAGAGTGTATGGGGATTGTAATTGGTGTCATGAAACAAAGTGTGTTTGAACTGTTGAGAGTGTAAAATGAATCTGCTTTGTAAAATTGCACCCAAATCACAATTAAAAATTTAAAGAGAGAGAGAGAACCTGGGCTAATTGGAAGCCACAGGAAAGATGAAGGCCTGCAGATCTGCTCAGGGCCTGGCATCCAGGAGCAGGACTAGCAGCAGTAGAGCCACATCCAGACCAGGTAGAGAGCTCAGCCTAGGGTCGAGGAGGCTTGGGGGTTTCGCTACTGCCACAGCTGCTACATAGATTTGCATTGTTCAAAATTCAAAAGGTATAAACATCTTTCTTGCCCCCCTGCTCCTGCAAACTCTGTTCCCCAACTACTAAACTCTGTCCCTGAGATAAACTTGTACAGTTTCTCAAGTGTCCTTCCAGGATTCCGTGCATATTCAAGCAAACACGTACATTTCCTCCCTTCTATTCAGATGCACAGTGTTTTCCCTTTGCTTAATCTTCTGTTTTGCAGATACCAGAGAGTATTTTGGAGTAAGTGCTGGTTGTAATCTACTGAGCCACAAGGGACATGGGGGGCTTCTTTGGGTGGTGTTTGCCCTGGAGGAAAATCTGACGCCTCCTTGGGACCACTGGCACAGGCAGCTCTCTGGTCCTCCCACTGCCACCACCATTTCACTGACTTTTCATTTTGTTTCACTTAGTTTTTAATGTCAGCTTTGCTTGTCCCTGGTTTCCATATTGCTTTTGACCAACAGGGTCAGGCTACCGAAGATGGGCCCAGGCAGAGAGCCCTTGTGTCTACCCTTGTCCTGTAGGCTGGCCTGGAGCGGCACCTACCCTGCTGCTCAGCACCAGGCCTTACATGCTCCACTTTATTCTGTGCCACATCCTGGGAGATAAGTGGCCACTCCACACATCCAGGTCTCACCTGGCTGGGACTCCTCAACTCTTGCTCTTTGTACCATACGGCATTCCTTCCGCAGAGTCAGAGCCACTGAGATCCACACATAGGAGGCCAGGCCACGTCCTGAGTGCTCACCATTCATTGTGTCCCTGGGCCAGCGAGGGAGCCGTGGGCTCAGGTCTGCTCCAGTTTAGACCTGAGAGTCGGTTCTTCGGGCCTCTCAACAGCAGGCGGCAAAGTGGGGCAGACTTGCAGGTCCTCAGCCTTCCCAGGCCATGCTCCTCGATCCCCACAGCTCACTCACATCCGTAACCTATTTTCCCTTTCCGTTTAGGGAACACGTCCAGCAGGAGAGTCAAGAAGGCGGAAAGGTCAGTGTGGTAGCTTCTCATCTAATTGCAGTCCCTCCTCCCTAAACACTTCCCTCTGTGGCAGCATCTGCTCACTTCTCTGCGGCAGGAAGTGGTTCCAGGTTGTGTTGCCCCCTTGTGTTCCTAGGGCCCCAGGTTTCTGGAGCAAGTCAAAGCTGCTGTGCCAGGGCTTCCTTAGAACCAAGGCCCCCTGCAGTAGCTTGGCTCCCCCATCCTCTGGCTGTTCCCAGGCATCGATTAAAGTTAAGCGTCCTTTTCCTCCTGCTTTAGGAACAGTTTGGGGTGGGCAGTTTGACAGCTGCCTACTACTTTGAGAAATGCCACAGTCCCTGAAACTGACGAGTGGCAGATTGACAGGCTCCGTCTCACTGGCTCCTCTTGGACAGCAGGAGAGTTTCTCCCTTTGGATGTTTCTCTCAAAGAAGCTCTTTAAGTGGCATTTACTGGTGCACAAGCCAGAGCTAAGAAAAGGCATTGGCACCTCTCTCATGCTCACAATGCAAGGAAGTCTGTGGGGGAATTGATTTTAATCACTGTCTCTGTTAATTAGAAAGACAAGAAATCGCCCAAAAAAGTAATTAATGGGAGTTGCTACTGCTCAAGGAGAAAAGGCTATGTTTTCTTGGGTGCTGCTGGTGGGCTGGGAACCAAGAGCTGCCAGCCTCCGTGGGGTTTTGTGGCTCTTAGATCTGCCAGGCTCCCAACCTGCCTTGGCTGCCCCTTTCACAGGATCCCTGGTCACCATGGAGAGGTAGAAGTGTTCTTAATGCCGAAAATATTTTGTAATCTGTTCAAATAACTACCAGTGAGGGGTGAATCTCTTGGTTAACTGACTTCAAATTTTCTTTCTGGCACCCTTTGCCCTGTGGTTTTTTTTGGGAACCAGATTTCACATTTGCTGTTTTTCTCCCATCCTGCTGCTGGGATCACTAAACCCTCTTCAGTCCTCTTCCTTTCTGCCCACCCCCACCAAAGACCCTCATAGGGAATTCTGCCTGAGGAATGTTCTCAGGGGTGCTTAGGATTCTGAGACTCCAGGAACAAAGTCTAGGAAGGACCTAAGGTTTTGTGGCACCAAATACCCCAGGTTTGCTTTTAGCAGAAACCAACAAGAGTTGGGTTTGTCCCACCCAGGCAGGTTTCTACTGGTTGTGGCCAGTTGACAGCCTCTAAAACCCACACATAGGACAGTCCTGTATCTTGCTGAGGGAGGACATGCCTAGGGCCCTAGGCATCCTGCAGCCTCTCTCCACTCCAAAAAACCAGACTCACTGCTATCGAGTCAGTTTTGACTGATAGCAATCCCAATTGGGTTTCTGAGGCTGTAAATCTTTATGGAAGTAGCTCACCCCATCTACCTTCCATGGAGTGGCTGGTGTCTTTGAACCACTGACCTTGGAGTGGAATTTTTTCTGTCCCCAGGGATCAGGGCTGGAGGAGATGGCAGTGGCTACCTCACCTCTGCCAAATGGAAAGGCACAGCTTGGGTGGCGTGGTTTCCAGTGCCTGAAAGGCTCTTAGGCTTTGGCAGCGCCTCACCTTCTGAGCGCTTCCTGTGTGTGTAGCACAGGCCCAGCGCTGGGGCAGACAGATAGCTGATGTGTGCATTCTCCCCTTCCAGTGGCCAGGCTGAGGGCACCATTCCTTAAAATCGAAGACGAGAGCAGGTAAGTGGGACGTCTTCTCCTGCCCCATCCCAGGCCAGGCCTGCACAGAGGAGAGGAGTTCAGGAGCCCCTCAGCCCTGTACCTTCCTCTGACCCCAAAACCACTTTCTCCCACTCTCATGGAGAAGTCCCCCCACAGACCAGGAGGGGCCTCTGGCATTGCCCAATTGACACTCCTCTTGAAGATGAGTCAGCGCTAGTGGCTGTGTGTGACTTTCTCCCTTTTGAATGCTCTGCTGTGATGCGTTCTTGATGTCCTTCTAGGCTTTGCTCCTCATGTCCCCTGGGCATGTGCTGACACTTCATGTCAAGGTGTTACTGGGCCCAGTCAGTGTTAGGACAGTTGGAGGTACCATCTTGGATGAAGTGAGGATGTTTTGGGTGGCCTCAGGGCCTCAAGGATCCCCTTGTACTAGAAGGGACCTTTCTGTTTTGCCCACATGTTATCCTGTGAGTGTCACTGTCACTGCCCTGGGAGAGAAGGAGCTTGAGGAGAGAGTACACCCCCTGGTGGGGAAAACTGAGGTCATGGAAACTGAGGGACTTGTACACAACCACGTGCTAATGAATTGCAGCCCGAGGCTAAAACCCAGGTATCCTCACTGACCTGCCTTGTGATACTTTCTCCACTGTGCCTTCTGTACACCATTATGGTCCCACCTTACCTAGAGTAGGAGGGTCACGTTGATGATGTTATGATGATGTTACCTTGATGAGCATTGCCTATCTGGATTGTGAACAAATCTTCAGTAAGTGGTAGATCAGAAGTCCATGTCAATCTATAATTATTTCAAAATAAGAAGTTAACTGGGGGAAAAAAAAGGTCCATGTGTCCCCACCAGAAACTTCTGGGGCCAGAGTTCTCTGTATCCTTGAGCCTGGGGCAGGGCAGATGGAGACCCAACCCTGGGAACCTGCCGGCTCATCCTCCAGAGGGGCCTAACGTCCCTTCCTGGCACCTGCAGATAGTACAGAGCTGGCTTTGGGGACCCAAGAATGAGCAGAAAGGATACGGGGGTGGTAGGGAGCTGCTTCCTTCTCCACTTCCAGCTGGGTAGGGCATGTGTTGTTCAACCCCCAATCCTTCCACAGCTGGTTAAATACAAGTAGTCATGACTTGTGTGCAATGGCTGAGAGCTACTGTTAGTTCCCCAGCGTCTGCACTGCACACAGCTAGCACAGGTAATGTCACTGTCACTGGAGGGAGACTGTTCGTGTGCTGCTGGCATCACAGGCAGAGAGGAGAGCCAAGTGGAGCTGAAGGTTTTTGTGATTCTTTTGACTTGCTGCTTTGAAGCAAGTGCTCTTCAAAGCTAATTAACCTTGTCCCAACTTTCAAGCTTCCTAAAAAGAAACAAAACAAAACTGAGGAGGGAAAAGGGAGGGTGCCAGTATTTGGAAGGGCATCTCCTTCTCAGTCCAAGAAGATTCATTTGTTAGTCTTCTCCTGAGGCCACAGAGCTGTCTCCCAGGCACCCGGGAACCCACGGCCCACGCTGTCCTGTGGGGCACTGGCCACTGCACCCAAGCACTGTTCCTGGCAGCTGTGTCAGTGGGATTTGCTGAGTATCCACATATCACCAGGTCTGGCTCTGGAAGTTTCTTGAATGTGAGCAGTGTGGGGCAAACCACCCAACCCACTCAATGCAGGTCTGACTACTCAGACGCCACTGTGCCTCTCTGCTCAGAACATCACCCCTCACATGGTGCAGAGGACCAGCCTAGAGCAAAAATTCCCCATTCTCCCCACCCCCACCCCCTGCAGTGTGCTAGATACACTTCCACTTAGCTTCATCTAGGCTAGGGTCCTCAAAGGTTCTTTTAAGGTCAAGAGGCAAAATAGGAAGGTGGGAAGAACTCCATCTGCAGTTGGATGTGTGACTTCTGTCTGGGTCTTGGCTATTTGTGTGCCCTTGGGCAAGTCTCCATTGCCTTTTCTGTAAAATGGGATAACACCACTTGTTCCACTTAACCTTAGAGAGTGTTTATAAGATTCCAGTGAGGCAGGGAGCATCAGTGGGCTTTGAAGAGTCAACAGGGAGAGTGAGCGGAAGTGTTAGTTTAACCTAGTGAGGCTGATAAAGAGTTCTCTGTTAGAACTTAAAAGATATAAACATGGGGATCCACTTTATTATCAGGACTGGAATGCTGGGGAGTTGGGCTGTCCCCCTTTTCTCAGCCTTTCCCTTCCCCACTGTAGTCAAAGTGGAAGTTTTCTGTGTTTCAGGAAGTTTCGTCCCTTCCATCATCAGTTTAAATCTTTCCCTGAGATTTCTTTTCTGGGACCTAAAGACGCAAGTCCCTTTGAGGCTCCGACAACACCAGGCAGCTTGCACCATACCAGGTGGGTCTTTCTGGTTCCTGAACACCAGTGGCTGGTTCCAGGCCAAAGTCTTCCCCCTCTGGGGCCTGGCAGTCCATTTTGGGAATGGCCATGTGTTAGCTCCTTAGGCAAAGTGTATTCTGGGAAGTTAGCCAGAGAAGAGAGAAGTGTTCATCCCCTTTGTCTGATCATCTCCAGCCCTGCTGAAGAATTGGATTTGAGTGTCCAGAGGACAGTAGGCTAGTTTCTCAACCTTGGACCTATAGATCACCACCATGAGAGTCCCCTGGGCTCTGGTTAAAAATGCAGGTTCCTGGACTCTACCTCACAGCCACAGACACAGAATCACTAACAGTGGGGTCCCCAAGGCTGCATGCTCACAAGCTCCCCAGGTGCTTCCAGTGCATGCCAAAGTTTGAGATCTATTGGGGTAAACATCAGGAAAAACTAAGGAATGAGGAAGAGGGAACAGTGCTGCACTGTGTGGCCCAAGAGGGCTTGTAGGGTTGTTGATATTCTGCTCCAGAGAAGTTTGAGAATTCGAAAGTTCCCTGACCAAATTGGGGAAGTATTGCAGCTGGGGAGTAGACTTGATGCCCCTCAAACCCTTTCTATCTTCTGGGTCACAGGGTTAGTTCATCGACCAGGAGAATAGGGCAGGGTGAGCCTGGGAGTTCCTTGGGCCAAGGGGGGCCTGTAGGTTCTACCAGCAGCAGATGGAGAGGGGAGGAAGTGGGAAGCAAGCTGAGATGAAGTTCCAGGTGCCCTTCATAACTTTTCCCAGGAGATGAAGGGGGTACCAGAGTATCAGGAGGCACCCCTGGCTTGAGGCCAGCAGAGGGTGCTCAGCCAAGGGTGGTCTTAAGATCATAGAGACCGAGATGCTGTTGAAGATAATGAAGCTTTGGTGTCTACATGGGCGGGTCAGGTGGGCCATTAGGGTTTGGCAGGTGTGTGTCTGTCTGTGTGTGTGTGTATAGAAAATCTGTGCAGGATGAAGTGTTTAGTTACAATTTTTTTAAATTATTTTTTAGACAGTAATATAGTACACGGTTCAAAATTCAAGTTACAAAGGGTCTAACGTGAAAGTCCGTATTCTACACCTAGCCTCCAGCCTCCTGTTCTTGGGTCTATTTCTAGAGAGATTTCCTATGTACACAAATACAGCCTCTATCCTTTATTCCCTGTTTTTGCATAAAGACTGCCGGGATATTCACTGTGCTGCATGCATCTTAACACGTGTTTGACTGATTTCCAATCCGTACCCAAAGGACATCCTCACTCCTTTTTGTGGGTGCGTGGTACTCGGTGGTAGAATATGCATTTACTGTACTCTGCTGAGCGTCTTTCATTGAGGGATGCTCAGGTTATTTCCAGCCTTTTGCTATTATAATCAATGCTGCAGTGAATAATCTGGTGCAGAGTAAGTTTGTAATCATTCAAGGTAGCTTATGAGAGAAAATCCTGAAGATGGAAATCCTCAGTCAGAGTGGCGAATGCAGCCAGAGTGCTCTCTGTGGAGGTGATACCAGTTTGCACTCTAGCCATGCTGCAAGAGCCTGCTTCCCCACCCCCGTAGTGCTCAGTGCTATCAGGCTTGCTGACCGCTGCCAGTCTGATGGATGAAAAACTATACATCAGATTAATTGTGATTTTTGTTTTTTCTTATGATGATGAGGTTAAGTATGTTTTCATGTTTGATTTATTTGAATTTCTTTTTCTGTGAACCTATTTCCTATCCTTCGCCCATTTTTCTGCTGGCTTACTTACTTTGTTATTGATTTGATTGAGTGGCGTCTTTCATATATTAGAGAAATAAACCTTTGTCTGTTATTAGTTGTAAAACCTTCCCCACCTCCACCACCCGGTGTGTGATTAGTCTTTTAACTTCACTTATGGAATTTTTGCCATTGCATATTTTTAAAAATAATTGTATGTGGTTGAATTTACAACTTTTCTGTATGTTTCCTGGGCTTTGAGTCTAACTTAGAAAATCTTCAAGGAATGTTGTGGATTTGTTGAGTTTGCTAGGACAGCCTAATAGCAATGCCCTAGAGGCTGCTAGAACATGGACCTGAGATTCAGATGGGAAGTCCTCAGTGAAAGGTAGCAGCTGTGCCAGGGACGAGTCAGCATGAGGGCAAGTCCCAGACTGAATGAGGCTGGGACGGTGCCAAGGGGAGGGCAGTGCCGTCCCCTTGCTGCCGCTGATACCTTTTCCCTGTCTTTCTGAAGGTCAGATCAGTATGAGTTTGGAAATGGTCAGAGAGTTGGGATTCTTACAGGAGATTCTCACCACCACCACCCCTGCCTTACCTTGTGGTTTGAGATGTGTGGGTGGAGAAAGGACAGAGATAGGACAGGGTCCCCACAGGGAGGTCCCATCTTCTTCTTTGCATCTCCTGAGACCCTTGAACGAGTGCCTGTCTGACCCCTTGACCATCTTGGTCCTTTTTCTCCTTGGCTTGGGGGCTTCCTGTCAAGGCCCCAGGCCCTGGCACAGCAGCTCCTGCCAGCCTCTGAGGACCTCAGGAGTCACCACTGCCCCCACCCCTGTGCCCTCTCCAGAGAACCCAAGGACCAAGAGCCAGGCCCACAGTCACCTGCCCGCACTGTGCACAGGAAGAAGAAAGGGTACTGTGAGTGCTGCCAAGAGGCCTTTGAGGAACTCCATGTGGTGAGCAGCCTCTCCCCAGGCTATCCTGAGAGCCTAGCCTGCTTAGGTTGAGGGTGGTAGACCAGCTGCCTGAGCCTTGCCTGCTGAATCTCCTTACCTTGGCATGGCTGTGTCCTCTAATGGGTGAGGCTGGGCTGGGAGGTCAGCTATGTCCCACCCTTGTGTGATGCCCATTGGCCCTCTTTCCCCTCGCAGCATCTCCAGAGTCCCCAGCACCGCGGCTTTGCCCTAGAAACCCGTCCATATGCAGAAGTGGATCGCATCATTGCACGGCTCAGCTCCAGCCTTGCAGCCATCCCCTTCCAGGCCAGCCTCCCCAGGTGAGCCGCGTGTTCCCACTCTCCTATTGCATCTCTGCGTGGGAGGGAGCCCTCAGGTTGGCTTGCTTCACCTTTCTTTCCCACCATTTGTGGTTTTAGCTGATTGGAGCCAGGCCTGAACCGGAATAGGGCTCCTTCATAACACACAGCACTGACATGGCAGGAGGGATGGGCAGGTCAGCAGGTGTAGCTCCTGGGCCAAACGCCTGGTCATGTGCTTGTCTGGCTGTCCAGAAGTGGGGGAGGTTCCTACACCCCTCCAGAAGCAAAGTCTTTCTCCTACTCTAGAAGTTACTCCCAGAAAGAAGAATTGTGTGGGGTTTAGTGGGAATTCCAGGGCTCTCTGCTGCCCACCAAGGGCAAGACCCTCTCCCAGCTCGGGCTGTGGCTTCACCTCTCAGCCCAAATTCCCATGTCTAGGCTCTCTCCCTAGGCTGCACTGGGGCAGGCAGACTCTGGACTGCTTTCTCCAGGCACCAAAGGGCGCAGCCTCCTCTGTGAAGTCATTAAATGGAGCAGTCTCTCACTGTTCCCCTGGCCAACTCTCCAACCACAGGCCAGAGAGCCAGGAGAGGCACACAGAGCATGGCTGCTCTGGGGGGTCAGACCCCAAGGGCAGGCCTTTCTCAGGGCCCCCGTGGGCAGCTCTACATGCCAGAACTTAGAAGGGGTGCCCCATGTGTCCTACCCCCACCCAGCCCTCAGCCCTGGCCTGGGAGGACCCCTGTTTGCTGCCTGATTGGGAGTTGAGCCCGCGACTCACTGGATATTTCTGTGTCCACAGAAAGCCAAGCTCCTCGGCTCCAGATTGTGATTCCCTGTGTCCTGAGACTCTGCCCCCCAGCCAGCTCTCCCTCCCTAGGGCAGCCTCTCCCCGGATGAGAAAAGAAGACCACCAGGCCCCAGGGGCCTCAGAGCAGGATGGGACAGTGGGCAGCATGACGTCACCAGCTGAACCTACAGGGACTGGTCAAGTACCTGGACCAGCAGCAACCTGCCAGGCACTGCAGGAGTTGATTGATGCCTTTGGGGACTCTCCAGGAATCCCAGAGTCCAGGAGCCCTGCTTGTCAATGTGTGCTAGACAGCTCTGGTTTTGCAGACCTCTCCTCTGGCCCAGACCTGGCACTTGTTGGTCACAAGCGGAAAGTTCTGTCCCCCAGTGGCAATGCTGAGAAGAGGCCAGGAAGCTCCCGACCACAGCCTCTTCTTTGGTCCCAAGATCCCTCAGACCACACGGCACCATCAGTAGCGGGCATCTCCCCTCCCTTCCCATGCCAGGTCATGAGCCCAGGTCCCTGGCTACCCTCCGCCCCTGTGCTATCCACAGACCTGCCTCTCCCTCCCAGACCCCTCACTCTGGCAGCCCACAGACAGGTAAGCAGAGCACTGGGCTGCCCATCACCCCCTGGCCTGGAAGAGGGTGGCCTCCAGAATTGGGAGGTTCTGAGCAGATAGGCCCTGGCCCTGTCTCCCAGCAGACTCACCAGCCCCCCAACAGCCTCACAGCTGCAGGCCTGCTGTCCACCCAGGGGCACTCAGCAGGGCCTGCAGAAAGCCAGTCTATGTCTCTCCCCCACCGCCGGCCCACCAGTGCTGGGGCCAGCTGCTCCCGATGGTTCTTGGAGCCCCAACCGCTCCAAGTCCCCTGCCTCCCTGGCTGCCATCTGGACCAGCTCCAGCCCCAGCCTGGCCCTGTCAGAGAACTGCTCCTCTGAGTTCCCCTGGGCCAGACCGTCTCCAGGCTTGATAGCCACAGATACCAGTTACACCTGTTGGTGCTGTACCCCCACCAAGGCTGACCAGAAGCAGAACCCTAGGACCTCCTCAAAGAGCCAGAAGAAGTCCCAGGCCTGCCCTTTGAGGTCCAAGGAAACAGCTGCCATGGCCACGCTCAGTGGAGCCCACAAGGTGGGCAGGCCTTGGGTTAGGACCGTGAGAATTAGACTGGGGCGTTCCCTCTTTACCCCTCCCTCCATCCACGCTCCTGACCGGACAGCACCATACAACTGACCTGCCAGGCCGAAAGGAGGGCCCCTGGAGCAGCAGGAGCCCCGGCCCAGCTTCCCAGCCTCCATGGCACTGGCTTCTTGGAGAGCTGAGGCTTATGGCTGGTGTTCCCCCCCCCCAGCCCCAGCCTCCTTTCCCACAGGCATGTGGCTCCCCTGTTTTCTAAAGGCTCTGTGTTTGTGTCCCCTCCCCCTGCCCTCACCCCCACGCACACCCAGATCCTTAGGAACATATGAAGCAGAGGAGGGCCTCGCCCACAGCCTTCACAGCGTCCCCTCCCCCATGCACTTAGTGGGGCCTAACACTGGCCCCCCCAAGTCCAGGATTTGGCCAGAGGGATGTCTCCTCTGGGGACCCCTCTTGGCTCTTGTCTGCCTCCTCACCCTGGACTGCCCACCCCAGCCTTGTGCTGTTCCAGGATTGGAGTCTCACCTGCCCACTTGTGCATCTCCCACCTCCCCAAGGACCTCCCCCCATTTCTTCCAGTCAAGCCATTACTCTGGAAGCAAAAATGGGTTTCTTATTGATTCTTTGGCCAGTTTTTTTATTATTACAGCGTGTGCTGTGGTTCTTCTCACCCTTCCCTGCCTCCGTGTTTGTCACTTTAAGTGTAGAAGCTACCAGAGGCCTGGTGCTATTTGGTATCTCATTTGGGAAGAAGAAAGGGGGGCTTGGCTGTGGGTGAGGACCTGAGTTGTTAGTTTGGAAATAGAGCAACTGTGTGTACAGCCTCCTTGAGGTTATGTTTGGCGTTTTAAGGCCATTCCTGTTAAATTTCACAATTAATCTTGGTTCAGGAGTGTAAACTTGTTCATAACAAACAGCATAGAGATGGGGGTGGAGTGCCTGTGTCCGGTCTAGGACCTGCCCTCCAGTGACCAAGGCAGGGGTGAAGGCCTTGCAGGTAGCAGAATAACTGGGGAGCAGGCCTAGAGTTTCCTGCAAGTCGCAGAGGATGTGTGAGTGCCACCACCCTCCTGCTGGCTAACCTGGAGAAGGCAAGGGGTAATCTGTCTCTCCAGTCTCCTCAGGTCACTCAGTTGACCCAATGAGGGGTCAGCTGCAGAGAGCATGCTCACTGCTTACCCCCAGGAAATCCTTAGTTCCAGCAGGCACTCCTCTTCCCAGGGCCCAGACAGCTTGATTCTGGGCCTTGGTGGGTTTGTCCCTTTCTGTTTGTAAAGCACCCCCCCCCCATTGCCTTTCCCACGAGGCCACCCTTCTGTGACTTTTGAATCACAAAAGGACACCCCTCTCTCAGACCTCTCTGCTGCCCTCTAGTGCTGCACACTCAGCCTGTTGCCCTCGGTCATTGTCCACTGCCATGGACACGCCCCCCATCACCTCACATCTTCCCCTTGGCTACATTGCCAGCTGTCCCACAGTGGTATTCATGTTCTCTCAGTCTCCACACTCTGGGTCTCTCTTGCCTCTCCACACCAGCCCCTTCATCACCATTTGGCCCTGCCCTTTCCAACCATGTACCCTTCACAAGTGGCCTGTCCTTCCCAGTCCCTGGTCATGACCCTCCCATCTCAATGGATGTGAAACCTTGGACAGCTCTGCCTGCCCATATCCTGACGCTACATCACTCCAAGCCATTTCTCCATTCTGGTTTCCAGGCTGTGGATTTAAGTCAGAGGGGAGCCTTGCGCACCCAAGACCTGACTCATAGGTGGGTGCTGCTTGACGTAAATTAGGCTCCTCTGTGGCTCCTTGACGGGGACTGCTCAAATCTCGTTTCCTTCCTCAAGTCCCCGCTCCACATCCACCCCTTCCCTCTCCGCAGATGACCTTGACTCAAGACGCCTCAGTAGGCACTGCTTCATCTTGCTGTCAGTTCCCCCTCAACGTCTTCACACTCTGTTCCTCTTTCAAAGGAAGCGTGTCCTTCCCCCCATCACACCATCCTAGTGCTCTCAGCCCACCCCTGCCAACCTTGTCAATTTTCTCCCAGAATCTCCATTTCTTCTCTCTGTCTGAAAACACGACTCCGCTCCATCCTGGAAAACCACATTGATTCCGCAGCTTGAAGAAGCGCGCCCCTGGTCTCTGCTGCTGCCTGCGGTCCACACCCACTGCATGTCTTCCCCTCCTTCCTCTCCATAGTGGCTGCTGCCTGAAAACTCTGCTGTTGTTATATGCCCTCGAGTCCGCCCGACTCATGGCGACCCCTCCTTGGGTTTCTGAGGCGGTATCACTACGGAAGTAGATTGTCTAACCTTCCTTCTGAGGAGTATCTGGTGGGTTTGAACCATCAGCCTTCTGGTTAGCAGTCAAGTGCCTTAGGCACTATGCCACCAGAGCTCCCAAAAACTCCACTAGGGTTGTCCATTCCAAGGTCACTGGATAGCCTACTGATACTAAGTTCAGCTTCCTTTTCTCCTTCCCCACCTCCCTTCTGGCTGAAGCATCTGATACATCTTGAAACTTGGCTTCCTTGGTCCCAGTGACCCCATGTTGGCCGACTTTCCTTCCTTCCCCCACCCCCAGCTTCTTTGGCTCTTGCTCTCTCATTCATTCCTTCCTTCATTACCACAGCCTGTGTGTCTACCCTAAATCAGCACTCTCCAGCTCTAACTGCTTTCCCCAGGACTTGGTATAGGGATCTTTGTTCTCACCATTTCTTCTTTCACATCTCTGAAGATGTGACCTGAATTAGTAGCTCCACCCCTGACTCCCTTCTGAATTCTAATGTCACAAGAGGCAGGTGGAGCCGGGGAACCTGCAGTGGGTGGGAAGACAGGAGATCTAGCCACATCCTGAACTCACATTGTGACTTTAGGAAAGTCCCTGAACTACTACTGCAGGCCTCAGTCTCCTCACCTTCAAATTAGGAGTTTGGATGAGGTGGTTTCAGAGGTCCTTCTTTTCAGTCATAAAACACCACATCCACAAAGGAATCTCTTGTATCCTCCTTTGTCCAAAACAAATGCAATGTATGTAAGAATTCATCATTGAGCCCAACATGCTGCCTTTCCCTTCCTACTTTGTAATTGTTTTCCTCCTGAATTTTCCAACACCCACCTCTCAAAGCCACCCCGGAGCCAAATCCAACCGTCTCAAGCCCTCTTGTGCCCTCTGTCTCATGAAAGGACCCCCTCCTCACACCTGCCCAGCTCATTCTCTATGCTGCCTTCCACTGACCAGATCCCTGCTCCAGCCAGACAAGTCCACTTGTATCTGAACCACATGCATGATCAAGCTCCTTCTTGATGTTCGCACCCTGGAATGCCCCATTCTTCTAGGCACAGGTGCCGTGGACTCTAGGAACCTTGTGCTGGAAGCATTCAGGCCATGAGCTTTTGAGCCACCCAGGCCTGAGTTCAAATCTGTGCCTGCCACTTAGCACTGTGACCTTTTAAATTCCCGAAATTCAGTTATCTTGGTCTGAAAAATAGAAGTAATAGTAGTTGCTACCTCACTAAGTATGGTTTGCAAGGGAATGGCCAACAGGCAGCCCAGGCTATTCAGGCTAGGATTCCACAATAATTCAATTGGATACTATTTGTAAGATGCCTGGCATGTTGTAGGAGCCCAGATGGTTCACTGGTTAAGCACTCAGCTGTTAACTTCAAGATCAGCAACTCGAACCCACTAACTGTTCCATGGGAGATAGATGTGGCAGTCTGCTTATGCAAAGATTTAGAGCCTTGAAAACTATGGGGTGGTTCTACATTGCACTATCGGGTCATTCTGAGTCAGAATCAACTTGATGGCAATGGGTTGGGTTGGTTTTGGTTTGACAGGTTGTAAGACCTCAACAAACAGGAATTATTCACCCGCCTCTCCTCTCCTATAAGGTCTCCCTCCTGGACACTTAGGAGCTTACTTTCTTTAATCTCCCACCTTGTGGCGTCTCTGTGACCTGCATCCTCATCTCTAGTGTGGGTTGGTGAATGAAGCTGCTAAGGGTCTTCATCCAGTGAGCCACCCCCAGCCCCTACCTCATCCTAAGCTCCCAGAGGATCCCTGACATAGGCAAGAACAGGCAAAGGGGTGGTGCTGCACTCCCCCATAGCACTTTCGGCCCCTGATGACAGGAAGACATCTGTGCCCTGTGAACCTCAAAGGATGGATGTGCCTGGGATCCCGGCACCTCAGGTCCCTCCAACTGTTCCTGGAGCGAGGCCTCAGAGCTTCAGGGATTAAAGGAGCCAGGAGTGGGGAGCACCTCAGGGCACTGAAGAAAGAGAAGCGTGAGGATTCCCTTGAGGAGCATTCAGACCAGAAGAGCAGACCTCTCCTTTGAGGAAGGGAAGGCCCTGGCTGGGTGGAGGCAGGAGGAATGTCAGATCCCAGCGTTGGGGCATTTCCCCTGCTATCCAGCTGCCAATATCAAGTCATTGGGATGTAGCTTCTCCTTGCACTGGACAAGGGTCCTGAAGCCCTTGAGCCAACCAGGGAGCTAGTTTTCTCCTCAGCACCTTAAAAGCAACACTGACATGAAATAAGTGAATCACAAAAAGACAGATATTATATATATACCTCACTTATATTGATGCCTTTGAATTACGGTGTTGTTGGTGAAGAATATTGACTATACCATGGCCTGCCAGAAGAACGAACAAATCTGTCTTGGAAGAAGTATAGCCAGAATGCTCCTTAGAAGTGAGCATGGCAAGACTTCATCTCACGTAATTTGGAAATGTTATCAGGAGAGATTAGTCCCCACTTGGTAAAGCAGTGGGCCAGGGAAAAAGAGGAAGACCCTCAATGAGCTGGAGTAACACAGTGGCTGCAACAATGGGCTCAGACATAGCAACAATTGTGAGGATGGCACGGGACCGGGCAGTGTTCGCTCTTATGCTCACCAGCACCTAATAACACTTAAATAAAAAGACAAGCAAAAGCAAATGGATAGAGACCAAAGTTTATTAGTGGTTACAGGGAGGGGGAAGAAAAAAGGGGTTAATAGTGATGGAAAAATACATTTATTAAGGGTGGGATTGTACAGCTAATTATTGTAAGTGCTGTCGATAAGTTGAACACCTATAAAAAATTGAATTGGCAAAAGTTGTATGATATATTTATAGCAATGACCCCAAAAATTATATATAAAAAAAAGCTACTGTACAGTCTTAACACCTCATGGGATTTGATTCCTTGGTTTGGAGGTTTAGGGTCATGGTTTCATGGGACATCCCAGTTAATTGGCCTAATAATGTGTTTAGTGCTTCTGTTCTACCTCCTAGTTTGTTGCGTAGTGCCTGGGGTCTTAAGAGCTTGCAAATGGCCATCCAAGGCACCACAATTGGTCTCTATTCACCTGGAGCAACAGCGGAAGAAGGAGAGTCAGAAATAGGAGGATGTGGAATGTGTAGCTAACTGCCTCCATGAACAACTGCCTTCTTTGCCATGAGACTAGAAGAAATGGATGGTGCCCAGCTACCATTAGTGAACATGTTGATCAAAGAACCTATAGAAGAATCCAGGAGCTCTGGTAGTGTACTGCCTAAGGCACTTGACTGCTAACCAGAAGGCTGGCGGTTCAAACCCACCAGTCACTCCTCGGAAGGAAGGTTGGGCAATCTACTTCTGTAGTGATAAGGGCAGGTCACTGTGAGTCGGGTCCAACTCAATAGCACATAACAACAATAGCAACATAGAAGAATCTTGGTCAAAAGGGGGAAAATGTAGAACAGAATTTCAAATTCTCATGGAATCCAGACTTCCTGAAGCCATGGAGGCTGGATGAACCCCTGAAATGATTGCCTTCAGATAATCTATAAACCTTAAACCAGAAATATCCCCTGAAATCTTCTTAAAACAATAGCTTAGCTTAACTAGTGAAAAAGGTCAGCCTTGAGCATTATGCTTTTTAAAGAACTGTGTATTGGGATAAAACTGACAACAGCAACTCAAAGTTTAGACAGGAATCTTAGGGGCAATGAGTTTATGTTAATGAGGAACAACTCAGAAAAGGAGGGTGAGGATGGTTGCACAACTCGAAGAATGTGATTGGACATGGAGAAACTGCTGACTCGGTGGATGTTTTGCTGTGTATATTCTCAACACAACAAAATAAGTAAAATTTAAAGAAAGAAAGAAAAAAGCAACGTTGGCAATGAACTTGGGGTGAGTGAGCTCCTTCTGAGCACCAGGCTCTGCTCGAAGTGCTTTCTGCTCACCAGCTCAGCTCTCACAGAGGGAGGCCTTCTCTAACCCCATTTCACAGATGAAGAAACTGGGGCTCAGAGAGGTTGGGACTTCACACATCCGGTAAGTGGGTGAGCCAGGGTTGGAGCCCCGCCTGGCTGCCTGGAGCCCCCATGACTGGTATGGTCTCTGCTGCAGGCCTCAAAGGCTGGGCACTGGGCCTGGATGGCCTCCATTGGCCGGAAATGCCGCCCACCACATGGCCCCAGGGCCAGGGGATGCTGACTCCCTTCCTTACCTGCAGTTGCTGGGACTGAGTCTTGGCCCTGCATCAGCCCAGCTTGGCCCTTTGTGCAGGAAAAATTGAAGGAAGAATTGGCTGAAGAGCAGGAAGAACTGCAGAGGAAGGAGGCCCCAGGCTGGGTTCTCAAGCTGGCCAGGCCTCCTGGTCGGGGGCTCCTGAGGGAGGGCTTTGAGTAGGACCTGAGCCCACCTCCCTCACAGATCCCTCAGCGGGGGTGACTCCCAAGGGTGACATTCAGACAGCAGAAACAGTGGCCACAGGCTTCCTGGGAGAAACAAAGGACAGGCAGAAGAGACCAAAGGGGCCACCCACCGCTGTGGGGTTGGGTAAGGGCTCCCAGAGAACCCTTGATTGAGAAAGGAGACTCAGACCCTGTCCTCAGGTGTTCCAGTCTAGCACATAAAGAGCTCTTGCTGTCAGGGGCCAGGTCTGATGGGGGAGACATAGTCCCTGCCCTTATGAAGTCCCAGTCTGATGGGAGACACAGTTGCTGCCCTTAGAGTGTCCCTAGTTTGAGGACAGAGCCCCTAACCTCAGGAAGGAGGGAGGCGAGGGGGGATTGAAGTACATTTCCTATTTAAGGGAGGGGTGTAGCTTATAGGAAGCTGAGAGGGAGTGCGAGATGGGGGCAGTGAGACCTCAGGTGCCGTAAATGGGGTATTGTCAAGAGAGTTGGGTCTGCCTAGCAGGGCCTGTGGTAGCAGGGGAACCAAGGGAGGGGAGGGGCTGTTGGGGCCTACTGGAACTGGCCAGGGTGCACCAGGGAGTAGTCACTCTGGGGACTGGGAGGTCCCCTACAGGAAGCCACAGATGTCACAGGAATATGTCTCAGCCAAGGAGGCCTGGGCCACAGGTTGGGCTTGCCATGTGGTCTTGGGGATGTATGTGTGTAGGGAGGACCCACACTCCCCCAGTACCAGGGCCTTCCACTGAAATGACATACCCCACCTATCCTTTTGGGAGGCACAACTGGTTGGGGGCTCACTGATGTGGCCCTGGAACATGGCAGTGATGGGACAGGACCAAGTCATCTGGTGGTGACTAAATAGGGGACGGGGCAGGCATAAATGGATCAGACAGACCTGTTCCTTCTTGCTCCCAGGTAGAGTGAAGGTGGGGTGACCAGGTGTGTGACTTTGGGAAACTCGCATAACCTCTTGGAGTCTCAGTTCCCCGTCCACAATCTCTCCCTCCTGAGTAGTTGGAGTTTCTAGATAATAGCACATAGTAGGCCCTCATCCCAGGAGCCTCCTTCCTGCACACCCTGTAGGATGTTTTCAAGCTGCCGCTTGAGTGGAGGAACAATCGGCTCAGCCCTGCTGAGCATCAGGGTCTAGAGTGGCAGGTGGCTGGAAGAGGGGGAGCCACCCCATTCCCAGCATTGATGTCAGCGCCTCCTGGGAAATCGCCTTCTCACCTCTCCTGGGCCTAAAATAGAGCTGGTGGGGAGAGCCTGTCACCAGTGAGAGGCAGCTCCCCCATTCCCCGCAGAGGCCTGGGTCCCCAGAGAAGCAGAAGACACAGGAGGGGGTTCCCTGCCTCCACTTCTGCTCCTCAGCATCCTGTGGTCCCCCTTGTGGATGCCAAGGTGGGGCTCACTAGTGGTACCATGCCCCTCACACCTGCACCCTGTCTCAGGTCTCTGGGGACCCTAAGGGAGGTCAGTGATCCCAGTCCTTAATGTTGGGACCCAGCTTGCCATGGGGCCCAGGAACTGAGCTGCAGGAGGCACAATTGGGGCAGCTGGGCTGCAGGGGTGCAGCTATTTCTGGAAAGTAGGGATGGTTGCCAAGCCCATACACCCTAAGCAGAGCTGGGCAGGAGACCTGAAGGATCCTGGGAAGAAGTTGCTTGAGGAAAGGTGGGATGGGGGGGCAGAGGTCAGGTGTCTTACAGAAGGCCAGAGAGGGGAGGCTGGGGGGCTCCAGGAGCATCTTCCACTCCTTAAAGATTTGAGCTGGCAAGAGAGGGGCAGAAACGGGGCAGGCTAACAGCATGTGCGTGCCCTGGGTGGTTTGGGAAGGATTGGGGTAGTGCCTAAGGCACTTGACTGCTAACCAGAAGACTAGGGGTTCAAACCCACCAGCCACTCTTCGGAATGACGTTTGGGCAATCTACTTCCATAGTGATAGTGCCTCGGAAACCCAAGGAGGGGTCGCTATGAGTCGGGTCCGACTTGACAGCAAATAACAACAACAACACATGAGAAACACAGGAGACCTGAATGGGAGGCTAGCCTTTCTTCGAAGCTCAGCTGACAGCAGTCCCAAAAGCCTTCCTGGAGCCAGAAGCAGCCCTCAGAAGGAGGCCGCGGGTTCCGGAGGATGCGGGAGGACTCCGCGGTGACCCTCTGCGGTCATGGACCGGTGACCGGTCCGATGGAAACGCAGGGCTGGCGTTCACCGGCCCCCCTGCCCTCCGGCTACGTCCCGCAGTCCAGCTTCCCAGCTCCACAGCCCTCGGTCGTCGGGGCGCCCTCCTGGGCACCACGCAGAGGGGCGAGCCCGGCCGGGAAGCCATGCCCCAGCACTCGGGCGCGCGGGACCCCAGCCGGATGGTCCCGGGTTCCCCCACTTCCCTCCCCGCACATTTGCGGGTCCTCGGTGTTCCCCACAGAAGGGGCGGCCGGGGAGGGGCCTCGGAGCGGGGACCAGCTGCATCCCGCCCGGCACCTGCCGAGCAAGCGGCCAAGGTGCGGGGAAGGCCGGCCCCCTGGCGGTGCCTCTTTGTCTTCCGGTCGCGGCCGCCCCGGGCCCGCCTGCAGGGGGCGGGCGGCGCAGGC